GGCCGTTCCTGGTGAGCTGTTTAAATGAACATCGGCACAGAAACAGCAGGAGAGTATTTGGGATTCTCAGAACCTTTGTTTGTTTTGTTTTGGAAAACATGACTTGCTTTTGTAAATGAAGCCATGGTGCTACAATCCAAAATAAAAGCAAGCTTAGCTTTCCATGGTACAGGGGTCCCCTTGGGTGCTAGAAATTTCAATGTTTCTTCAATTTTAATTTTATTCCATTTCTTGACCAAATACACTCCTGGATATTGCTGGGCAATCAAACACACTGTAATTTGCAAATTACAGTCAATTTTTAAAATATAACTTTATCTTCATTAGCTAGTTATATTTCTTTGAACAATTATCTGCTCATAATGCAATACCAAAGCACAAAATAAGACTTACCATTTTGCTATGTCTATGTAAGCATACAGTTTTTAAATGAGCAATTCTTTCTTTTGCAGATCAAAAGCAAGAGCACAAGTGCATCACGTGCAAGTGCATCACATCAGCCCACATTGTAGCTAGCACATAAACAATGTTAGTCAATCATGCATGTTTTGCCACAGCCACTTCAATTTATTATAAGCCTTTTTACAATAAACATCAAAAGAAAAAAAAAGTCTCAAAAAAGCCATTCTGAAAAGAAAACTTCTCATGAAAGACAACAAAAACATCTCACCAACATTTTTATGTACGTCCACAATATATGTGGGTAAATACATCCACATACACACACATGCCAACTTGTGAGCAAACTGAACACGAACAGGACAGTGTATCACAGCCATGGAAAAGAAAGGGAAAATGCAGCAAGCAAGACTTATGTTAAGACAAGACTAGAAACAAGAGCCTGTTGAGGTTTGCCTCTAGAACTGTTGGAGTAGATCAGCTTTTAATAACTCACAAAGCTGCAAGTTGTAGCTGCTTATAGGCTGTCTGGAGGAAGCATTGAGGTTAGCCACAGACTACCGTGTGCGCCTGGAAATCTGCCTGAGGAGGGAGGGAGGATACTACAGGATGAACAGTGCGTGCAAAGGGAAAGCTCCTACGGGAACACGGTGAGGGGGATGAGTGAGAGGGACAGACTCACTCTGTCTGCGGTGCGGTGGAGCAGTCCGAGGGATGCCCTGGAATGAGCCCTGCCAGGGAGAGAAGGAGGGAGCAGAATACCCACCCTGTGCAGAGAGAGAGAGGGGGAAAAGTATAATAAAAAAGAGAACAGGGAAAAACAAGACACCAAAAAGTCACACCATTCTTTTTCCCTTTCCCCCAGCAGGCTGCCACTGCACTGCTCTCCCTCGCAGAGGCAGGCGCTACGTGCTAGAGGCCCACAGGAAACTCGGCCGCTTCTCAACTTGTCACAAATCTGACACTTTCAGGACAAGAGCAGAGCTTCATTAGCAGAGCTGCACAGAAAACACCCTTTTTTTTTTCTCTCCAAAACATATGCACATATTATTATCCATGATGATACTTGTGATTTCCTGAATCAGAAGGACAGGTCTGGTTCTTCAGCACCTCTTACCAACAGAAACAGCTCTAAGCAGCTGTGGAAGAGCAGGCCAGGGCAAGGAGGGCCCTGGCTCCTGCCTGCCAGCAGCAGCAGCTCTGCTTCACGCTGGACACCTACAGCATTCGAGCTGGTACCAAGGCAGCAGAGAGCAATAACGTGCTGCTCCCACAAGCACAGAGAGGACAATTTTTGGAGCTAACCATTAAGATCAAAAAAAGCTCCTTAATCTGATGATCTCTGCACTGAGATACTGATTACCCGTTGGGTTGTCAGTCTTCCATCAGTACCATCAATGTCGAAACAAGTTTAGACTGCTGCATGAAGGAACAACACTACCAGCTTTCGCCAAACTGGATGACAACAAACTGGTTGCATTGGCAGAGGCAGGTTTAAAAGGAAAAATATTCCTGGGAGCAAGATCAAGCATTGACTGATATGAGATTAACAATATATATATTTAATTTCCACAGCACCATACAGAGAAAGCTAGATTTTTCAGCTTGGTTCTCATGTAATCCTAAATTATTTCAGGGAACCCAAAGAAAGGAACCCAAACAAAGAAACACTTCCTTCTCTAAACCTAACTGCCTTTCCAAATAAAAACAACAAAGCAACTAGCATCATCAAGCACAGGTCTGGTGTTTTAAGGACCCTTTGGTGGTGATGTATGGGTCAGCAACGTCCCTTTTTTCAGATTTTACATGTATAGTACAATACAGGGGTGGTGAAAATTTTAAATTCTCTCAACTTCTAAAGCAATCAAACAAGCACAAACTATCTCAGCTTCCTAACAATCAAGATACTATACTATAAAAGCAGAGGCGTATTTAGACTTGCTGATACCTATACCAGCACTGGAGCGAGGCCCAGCAGCAACCACCCTCTGCGCAGCAGCTCCTCACGGCACCGCCGGCTTCTGCAGCCCAGGGGCAGAGCAGGGCCCAAGGCCAGGAAGCAGCCGGGCGCTCCGGCTGCCCCGGCCAAGGTGCAGGTGCCCCGGGGCCGCGAGGCCCCGCTCGCTGCTTCAGGCCCCACCGAGGAGCGGACGCTGCTCTGTGTAAGGGGGCAAATCTCACACCCTAGCGGGGCTCCTTGTGTGCAAAGTACAAAGCACTGCTTACGTCCACTTCAAATAGAATAATTTAGCGCTAGTGGAAGCAAATAGGGACCAGAAAACACTGCACTGGTAGTTTGTTTGGAAGGACATTGAAGATGCTGGGAATTTTGCCAAAGGCTGAAGTGATGCTGTAGATGCAGCACACCCAGGGGTAGGTATCGGACAATACGCCCAGCCTCTGAAACGATGACTTTTCTTTCACTAGGATTTTACAAAACTCCAGCAAAGAAATCTCGAGTTCTTTCTGCTCCAAGTAAGAGTGACTCACACGTGTGCCTGGAAGAGCCACACACACGCTGAAGTTCCCAAGCAACGCAAATAGAGGAGAAAAACTGCCATTTATGGCAAAACCTGTCATACACAGGCAGGATGGGAAAACTCTGCTGTACGTGGGAATACAAAAAACAGTTCCTGACCCAAATTTCTGAGCTAACACTTAGAAGGGAAAGCGCCTAAAATAAACTGCATTTTGGACATTTGTGCAAACTTAGTGAATCTTCCCAAATCACGATTTTCTTGAGATTTCTTACATGCAAAGGAAGATAAAAAGAGTGCACCTATAAGCATGCATGTATTTGTACACATACACACACACACCCTGAACACAGCAGGGGCCAAGATTTCTTTAAGGATGTTGCCCCTCAAGCTGTTTGCAACTCCATGAGACAGAGGCAGTGTCTCTGAGACCAGAGCCCTGCACGCCCGGCCACATTTGTGCCTTCTGTAAAATGCAGGCCAAAGAGGGAACTCAACTGGTGCAACTCTGTAGGTAGGAATATATGTACTTTAACCTGACCAAAACGGGTATCTGGACCAACGCGACTCCCACAACCTGCTGGAGCATTAACTTCATGTCTCCAGTTTCCTGTCTCGGGTGTCTTTGCCTTACCAACTTAAGCAGGTTGCTCAAACTGAAACTTCTGCAGTTGTTCAGTAACTTTCAATATTTGAAAAGTCTGTCAGGTCAATAATCAAGTCTGTTGTATTTTCTCAGTTATTTCAAAAAGAGATTGCTGACTAAACCAAAAAGGAACCCAAAAGCAAGGACTGCCACTAACCTGGAAATAATATTTGTGGGATGGGGGGAAGAGGGTGTCAGTTCAATATCAAATATGAAATTTAGCCTTGGGAGGAGAAAAAAAAACAGTACCTTTTGGAACACAAGTGTCTGAGGCAAAAAGAAGGTATCTAAGAGTTGGTTACATTCTCGTTACTTTGGATAGTTTGCAGGCACAGGAAGGTCACAAAACATGGCCTCAACAGAAGAAAGGCTGTGTGCTAGAAACAGCTTGGCAGGGACCAGACTGCTGCATGAAGGAACACCACTAGGTGCAAGCTTGGAGCTTGCACCTCCAGGGTGCTTCCTACGCTAAAACAAGACTAAATATTCACAGGAGTAATTTTTAGAGGGGTCGCAGAGAGGGTGCAACTGATTTCCCCACAACCTCCATCCTCCACTAAACCCCAAAGAGTTTAACTTCTTTTCAACTGTTTGGAAGAAACACTCCCTCTCAGGATTTGCTAGCTCGGCAGAGCAGCAGCTGCCTGCCTCCCCTCAGCAGACTGTATGCTGGTGACTGACAGACGCCCTTTGCATTACTCAAGGATGAGTTTTTATCACAAGTACATCACAAGAAGTGTGCTGTCCCACTCCTAAGTACACTACTGTTGATCCATAAAGAATCTAACAGCTGTAAAATGGAAGCAAACACGATCCATGCAACAACAAATGGGAATGAAAACGTCTGTCAAGGCAATTTTCACCCAACGAATTTTTGAATGAGTTATGTTCTTCTAATGTATGACCAAAACAACCATAATTTGGGGGGACAGAGAATTTATGATAGAATACACTGCCACTCTTCACAACTGTGAGCAGTGAGCACAGCAGCAATGAAACTTAAAAAAGACAGATGGAAAACATGACAGGAAATGTCTTGCTGTGTGATTTGATAAAGCTTGGGCTGACTTACCTAAATAGACAGCCTATTAAAAAATGGCCTTCTAAAATTTAATTAAGCTTTTTAAAAATTATATGTTTACTATATATGTTTTAAGAGAGCTACAGGCAAACGTGCAGGGGGTGCAGAGCTGACAGGCTGTAGGAGTATGGCACCCTAGACCAAGGGCTGAACCTCTTAAGCCTCTTAAACAGGGCCAGCTAGTACGACGCCAAAAATCAAGCTGGAGGTGAAATGCAGGAAGTCACCTCCTTCTGTGGAGATCTTCCAAAGCCGCCTGGATGGGACCCTGTGCCACGTGCTCTGGGTGTCCCTGCTTGAGCAGGGGCTTGGACTAGATGATCTCTAGAGGTCCCTTCCAACCTCAACCATTCTGTGATTCTGTGATATCCACGAAGAATGGGCAAGCTTTACTCACAGAACTTCTCTTCCAGGAGGTCTGAGTAAATTTGTCAGCATGCAAACACGTCGCCCCTGAAAGTTTGTCGTTCTCCTTCTGGCAGTTGCACTTAGTGGCCTTAACCCCCACCAAAAAGAGAAAGAAGAGAATGTATTAGCAAATAATTAAGCCTATTATAAAGGAGAACCAAGGCAGTATAGCACAACACCATTATATCATAGAAACAATACTACACATCCCCTTTTTTCTCAAATATATGAATTATTCAGAATAAATGCTGACTTGTGAAATGTAGTTTTGGTTCACTGGAATATCTAAAATATAACATTCAGGTCACCTCTAAATAACTGTGAATAGGAGTTTTACCCATCTTCATGGCAGAGTTCCTTAGCTGCAAAGCCCTTCAATTACTACAGCAATTAGCAAACAACCTTGGCACGTGCAGGGCCTTTGCCTACTCTCTGAACAACAACACTAAGCATACCAAAATCAGTGCTTAATGCAAATGCTAATTGGCAAGACAGACTGCTTAGATGATCTGGAATCCTGTTAAGCAGCAGACAGGCAGATCTTAACCTGCTTTTTTTGAATGAAAGTACAAGGGGGAAAGTCAAAATTAGAAGCTTGACCTTCTTAAAGCCCTCATAAGAACCAGATATACAAGTTACACCCTGTGGCACACACTTGAGAATCTATTAGATATTTAAAAATGTACTTACAAGTTGATGCTCTAACCGACTGATTGTTTCATCCTTTTTCTTCAGTTCATCTTTAAGCTGCTTGATCTCATTTAGCAGATCTTCTGTCTGCAATAGAACAGAGGCAAGAGGAAGTTTTCCACGAGGGCTACACAATCGCAACTCACACCTGCACAAGGCACATGAAATCAGATATATGCAACTCTGGCCATAATATTAGCATATACTTTCCTTCCAGCTTGTCACGTCGTGCTATCCTCCTGTTATTCACATGCTGACACAGGCTGCAAATGTACAGTCTAAAGAGCGAAGAAACTTTACTAGAAATCTCCCTAAGGCACGAAGCTTTCAGACTACACACCTGTGAATAAATCAGCTGCATTTCTGAGGCCATGATTCATCTACTCCATAGCAGTATGGAGAGAAATAAACCTACCCATGAAATTCTACTTATCCTCTTATTTACCCAACCAAAAAATACTAATCTTCACATAAAAGTGCACTGCTATTTAAATAACTCACAAACACATGTATAGCTGTTTACTGAATGCAAATAACATCACAGTTTTGAATACATTCTATCTAAGCATCACGATATGACTTAAATATGCAAGGTTTTTTCAATATTTTTTATCATAACATATTTTTAATATATTTTGCAACTGTGTCATTGAAGCTAGGTCATATATTGTGAGGTATACCTGAATTTAGGATTCATTTACTATTTTCCATTTGCCTGGAGATTGTTTTTAGTTACTGCGTTAGGTAACACCCAGACTGATTTATTTTCCAGTTAAACAGCAAAGAAGGCCTGAGCATTGATAATTTGGAACTCAGCCTCGCTAAAGGGTGATGCTGACACATCCATGCAATGGGGGCAAGCATTTGTAATTGCAAAACGAGGATTTGGACAGATAGACTTCAGACAAGAATAAGATTTTAAGTGGCCTTGCCTTTCCTGAGAATTTCTAAGTCTACTATCACTTAAGAAATGGGTATCATTCTCTTGGTTTAAGTGTAGAATTAGCGGCCTTTTTAGATTGATTTTACAATTTTACAACATGAAGCCTGAGTCATGCTATAAAATCTTACCATGGCAGAGAGCACACCATTACACATCTGTGACCATGAATGCATCTTTGCATGATGAATGCATCTTTGATTTTATGGGTTTTTTTTGGTTGACTGTGTTTTTAAATTCTCATAATCAACACCTGCGTTATCTCAGGGAAAACTCACTGAAAGGTATTTTAGAGCAAAGGGTAAGAACAAATGTAATGAAACAGTAAGCATTTAATTTTGCTGTGATTACACTAAAAAGCAATTTTTTTTTAAATTAGACAACATTCCAGCAGTTATCAAATAAGCAGAAATTTCTTAAAAGAAGTTGCTCTGCAGCTGTTAATTCTCACATCTATCAATACAAAAAACAAAGTTATTTCAATTATTTAAACGGTACATGAATGTGTAAGCATGCATTTTGAAAGGTAAATAAATCCATTTTAACAAAAACAGACAGGTTACATAAATACTTGCTAGGTTTGCATTTAAATAAATGCAAGCAGCACTGCCTTCCAATGATAGGGAAGTTGATTTTCTGTCTCTCTGTTGTGCAGGAGTGAGCGAGTGTCGTTTACCTTAAAACGAGATTCAGCTTCTTGTGGTTCTGGACTTGATGGCATCGAGAGCACAAGGTCCTGGAGCGACACATTTTCATCATCCTGCCAGAGAAACAAAAACACAGGCTCAAATCACTTGCTAGAACAGCTCTGCAAATCTGCTCTCCAGAATGGAGAATCCACCTCTCTGGGGAACCAGCAGCACTGTCTGACCTCCCTCTCTGCAGTTTCTTTTCCCCTCATCTGAAATGGTCACACTTGCTGCAGCAGGTGCCCGCTGCCTAAATGAGGGTCACAAACAGCCTCTCTTATGAATTCACAGCACCAGCTGTAACTATGTTGAAGAACTGATTCTGCGCAAAAAACATGGCCAATGCTAGTTGCTGCTTTTATGCCAAGACAGATCATACTTTCAGATTTTAAAAGCTTATTTTGCTTCCTAACTCATCCTACAAATATGTCCCAAGTAATTTCAAAATGCACAGGGACAACATTTCAGCTAGGAGCTCTTAACTAAAATAGTTACACATTTGCTACCAGGCAGTCCTACACAAAATCCACAGCCATCAGACCTACATATAAATTATGAAAACTGGGCCCAAGAAAAAGTATTTTTTTCACCCCCTCACCAAATGACAGTCATTTACTCTGTAATTAATGACAGCAGGTAGAAATAGTAAGGCCTTGTAAAGATGCTAGAAAATAACTGCCTAGCACTGTCCTGAAACATTTACACTGCACCCATGATATACCTTTTATCTACCAATAAAACATATGCAACTGGAGAAAACAAACAGCCCACAGTAGTAAATTAAAATGACATTGCAAAGAAAGTGTGGCAGATTTTCCAACTTCACGTTCTGAAGTCCCATCTATACCTGACCTAAAGATCACTGTCAAGGCAAGATATAAGCTCATTTGCATCACTTACTTTACTATTTTTTTATATATATATATATATATATATATAAAGTATAGTATATTTATATATACTATATATAATACAGTACAACTGACAAAGCCTTCGGATCTACCATATCAGTGGTAACTTCAATATCTTATTGTGAACATACACTAGTGGTAACAGTTGGAAATCTTATGATCTTTTCTTGCTTTCTCTTTTCCTTCTTCCTAATCACAATCACAAGGAAAGGAGGACAAGTGGGCACAAAAATCATCAGACTAGGAAAATATCCACATACAAAAACAAAGACTGAAAGTATAATTTATCAGAACAAATGCAACTTGTTAAACTCACATACTGTTTTTGATAGCCTTTGGGAAAACAGTAGAGAGCATATAATTCTAACCTTTAGGTTAAGCCTTATGATACCAAACAATATACCTTATCATTCTGCTTTGCAAGAGGAACATGAAAGGCCACCAGCTCTTGGCTATTTGACATGACATTTCCTGCAGCAGGAGACATTACTTAGTAAACTATAATGAAAAAGCTACCTGAATTTTACCATAAACATGCCTCCAAAAGAGCTGAACTAGTCTTACTTGTGTAAAGTTTAAAAGATGTTTTGCAAAAAGGATACCTCAGAATAGTTTTTATTAAGATAACAAATACCAAAAACAAATGCTTATCAAAGGCACTTAAAAATAAGTTCTACATAAAATCACAAGCAAGCACAAAACCTTTCCAAGTAATGTCTTCAGTAGATAACTGTTTTTGTAAAACAGCAGCATTAGAAGGAAAAAGTCCTCAGTCAATGCATTCTGGCATTCCCGTTGTATTTATTTTTAAATGTTATTGGTGGTTTAGGCATGAAAATAATCTGCAGTACGTGAACTGACAGAGGATTAATGTTGCAGATGTTCACATTTATTGAGTTACGTATGGATAGTCTTCAATTCTAGATGCCATTTTCAGTCTACTATAAATTCACATATATTCTCTGCATGCAAAGCTTAATATATCTTCAATTTTCAATTATTCAATTATTCAAAAATAATCAAATAATACAAAAGTGAGTGATCACCTGTGGGGGGAAGGAAGAACTGCACAAAAACTCTCTTCAAACACTTTTAGACTACTCCAAAGACCACAGGGTTGCTCTGAAAAAAACCTTACTCCCTAATTTTCTGAAAACAAATGTGAGCATATTAAAGGAAAGTCACAATTTATCACCTCTGTAAGTGTTTTGCTGTTTAACTGCACAGACTGCCTATGCAACCAATGTCAAAGCCTAAACCACAGCTATCAGCATCTGATTTCAAGCTGAATATTATTTCAGCTTCAAGCTCCTCTTCAGAAACTCTCTGCAGAGAAAGACAATATCATCCTCCTAATAATAAAAAACAGTATCATATCTTTCCTGAAAAAAAAAAAAAAAAAAAAAGCTACTGCAGAGCAGTTAATTTCATTGTTCTGCAATGAATTTGGCCCAAGTTACAGACAGAAACTTCTACGTCCTCAGAGGTAAAACTGCAGCAATCCCGTCTTCCCCGAGAGTTAGGGCTGTTAGGCAACTTCTGTCTCTGGACAACTGGACAACAATTTTATACATGTGGGAGATTTTAACATACCCATTCTCAAAAGTCAGTGTCTTGCTGGAGGATTAACATTCCCAAGCCTGCATCTTACCCTTTTCTCTTTATCTCCAAAATACAGGCTACAAATTATGGGAATAAGCCCCTTGCATGACTGTTGCTGTTACACTTTAATTCACCCAAACACAAACAGTCCTAAAATCCAATCCTAAAGTCCATAAGTCTTAAGGAAAAAAAAAAAGTTTTGAATAGTGCTTAGTAAGTTCTCAGGCCAGTATTTCACAGGCGTGTCCTCTAAAAGTGGGCAAAAAACTCCCAAATTCCAAAAAAAGAGATTTATTTTTCTTGAGACGATGGCATCCTAACAATGATTTTTTTATTCATTAACAGATTATATAGGAAGTCTCAGTTGCAAGTATTTAGTTAAAAAACTCTAGTTAAGGAAGCTTTCCAATTTATTCTGCTGATGACCAGCACCACAGCAGAGCATTTTACCTGCTTTAGATTACCGGCCTTGGAGCAGTGCAGTATTTCTGCTGTGAAGTGATTCAGCAACTCAAAAATGCCCCATCTGGTTAGCATCAGGGCAGCTGATACTCCTTCCACAGCCACATGTACTCAGTTATTGTGCCTTGATCTTGCAAAAGAAAAGAAAGCGCAACCAGAAGAGAAAGTCACCACTGCCTCTCCAGGTCAGAGCAGAGCTGGGGGCAGCTCTCCCCACTCTGCCCAGGCACCTCCTCTCTCCACCTAAGCGGTGCCCTCGTGCTCCCTGCCTGTGCTGGCCCTCGCCCTGGAGCCCTTCTCCTCTCTGGGCCATCTTATTTGCAAACAAGTGGCTCAAACCTGTGGTTCTTAGGAACCTGCAAACAGAAACTTGTTGGAAACAGCTTTGGAAATACTCTGATTTTCCCGATGCCCTCTGCTGTTTTGGTTTAGCTCAAAGCGCACACACACACACACACAAAATCTGAGATTTCCAGTACTGCACCAGGGAAAATCATGGAACTCAAAGCTTAAAAGCACTAGCCATTTTCATTGTATTTTAGATCCCCCTATTAAAAAAAACCTATGCATTCAAGGCAAATGTATTTTCAGCGATTATTTTAAGAAGTTGAGCAGAACAGGCAACTTTTTCAAGAAATATATTAACAAATTTTATAAAGTTATTGGAATAAAAAAGTTTGCCTCCCCACAGAAGGGGTTTCAAGGATCTTCCAACTGCATTAACTCCTTCATGCTTATGTTCTTGTGCTTATTTGAGATAAGACAGTGAGAATCACTGCTGCCAGTCTCGGGATCAGAGAGGACAGGCCAGGGCAGGATGTGGGGAGCAAAGCTCCAGGACCTCAGGGGTGCTGCAACCCCTGCTTAACTAAGGGTGTTTGGCCACATGAGCACTGCAGGCTCAACAGAGCTGCCAGGGAGGAGAAGAAAGGAAGGAAGGAAGGAAGAAGAAAGGAGTAAATACAAACTCTTTTGTTTCTTTTGCTAAAGCTAGTGTTTGAAAGGAGCTCAGAATTTGTATCTTGCTTTCTTATTATGCTGTAAGAAAAGGCCTGTCATGACCTAGATACTGAAATGCTACTTAATTTTGGTATTCAGACTGCTTAAGTTCACTTAATTTTTTAGAAAAGTCTGGCTAGTAGGACCTTGATCAAGATTTCAAGTCAAGTCTTCGGCAGGACCCCAAACTACCTGGCTACTCCAGGTGTGGCTTTACGCAGCGAGCTACAGTTTATGGTTCTGCAGTTGAGCTGTCCCTGTGCTGAAGCCAGAACAAACTCCAGCTAGTAAGTTCCTGTTATCTCACATATCAGTCACTGCTGGGAGGTGCATTTCATGCAGCTTCATGCAGTTTATCAGGTCACTATTCACAAGTCAGGCGCTACGAGCAGCTTTCCCCTCTATGGCACTACCTTCTTTTTTGCACTGTTTCCACCACACAGACGAGAGCAGAACCAGAGCCTCCCACATTCTCAGTAACCACAGGAACTTTGCAACAATTTAGCAGACGTTCACCTTTCAAAAAGCATATTCATATCCTTGAATTAGTTACAAGGTTGATTGGGATTTTCTTGTTTTATTTTTTGTTTCAGCATCTTTCAGGGCATGACGTATTTTTTCTCACCTTGTGGCGTGAGAAGAGAATGGGACTAAACGCAACATTAAACACAACACCACACAGATATCACGGCATTTTTTCAGTGCTGACCTCCAAGGAAAGTCTCACGAACATTTGTTTTTAAAAGGAAGAAAACAAAATATCATAGCTGAAAATTTGCATTTTGCAGAATCTCCCCATGACTTACGAGCTCCTACCAATTTGACAAGTTTTCAGGCCAAATGTTAAAAGCTCCTTTAAAGCTTATTGCAACCCACCGTTTGCATACACTAAAAGTTAAACTTTAGTACTTCCAGTAAGAGACTAACCCAGCACAACCTGCTGGGCTCCTTGTGAAAATGTAGAAACGTGAGAAGAGTGAGGAAAGTAAAGCTTCAAGAAAAAAGGCTGAAAGAAACATTACTCAGTGTGATGAGATTTTTTTGTTTGTTTTACCCTCAGCATTTCACTAATTACAAGTCTGGCAGCGTTGTTGTTTTTTCCCTTCCAAAATTACCTTTCTTGCTTCAGAGAAGTAGAATAATATTACTTAATATTTTTGCTGACGGTAAGGAGCTTCAAAGGTAAAAGTACTATTTCAAACAGTAATAAAATCAATATTCTTTCTTACACATTATAATTCAGCGTACAAAGAAAACTGTGACAGCAAAGTAAGGCCAAGCAGAGGACGTGCCCATTTACGTGTGCCTTGGCTTTTCCTTCAGGCTTCCGCTCCGTTTGTGAGAGCTCACCTGGTGCAGCACCCGCTTCAGCTTCAGCAGCTGCGTCTTTACAGCCGTGCAGTCTTGCACCATGTGCCGCAGTGTCATTTCGTCGAGCATCACGGCGTTCTCGGGCAAGCCCACCAGCTGCCGCGGAGCCTGGTAAAGGCTGGGTGCTCCATAACTTTCAAAGTGGCCAGTGGGAGACTCCAGGTAGTTTGATCCCCTGGAAGAAAACACAGAGATGACAAAAAAGTTGAAGTGCATTTATTAGAAGTGTTAAGTGACATGGGCTATACTTGCATTTTGTGGCATAGAGTGACAAAGAAAAATCAGAAAATGCTAATAACAACTCAGAAAATCATTGGGCCTGGCTAGCCTTACACTTCTTAGTTAGGCTAAGAACTACAGCATTGTATTTAATTTAAAACAAATTACTAAGTAAAAACATATCCGAGCCTACAACATGCAAGTAATACAACAGTTTAATACTTCTTTGAACACATCCAATAGTTTAAACAAGAATTTTTAGTAATGTACAAAAGTAGCAAGTCACATTTTCAAGTTAATTCCTGCTCAAGGCAAAACACACATTTCAGTTAAAAATCCCTGACAAATTAGGGAGGATTTTCCCCTCCTTCAAAATAGTTACACATCACAGCAGTTCTCCTACTCAGGTACACTATTTATTAATATGACTATTCAGAAAGTGCCCTGTGTTCAGTAACACCTGAGGCCTTTCAGTGCAGAAGAAATTCCTTAACACAGTAATTCAATTTTCTAACTTCTTTGAGAAAATAATCAGCTCAACAGGACAACAGGTTCTTACCTGTTCAGATCATTTTTACTACGGATATAGTGATCAGTGTTGCCAAGATGATAGTGATCCTGCGTATTCCATCGCTGTTGTGATGCTCTTTTCCAGAATCCTTCCCCATGCTGCCGAGCATTTCTGTCCTGCCTGTCATAACGGCTCATATTTTCACATTCCTCTACACAGAGCATAAATTTAAAAAAAAAAATCTTAAATTTATTCCACATATCAAGTAAATTAAGTAGTTATGATGGGCTGCTAGCAGGTGCAATGTAAAATCTGATTTCTTTTTGTTTCCACTGAGCAAAAGTGTAAGCATTTGAGAATTGCCAGACAAATATCAGCAGCGTAGTAAGGCAAGATGCCTTTTTACTAGCATGTAAAACTTGAAGTCACAGGAATATGTGTAACCTGTAGCAGAAACTAGAGAACTTAGTGTTAACTGAATTTCATGTCTTGCTAGAAAAATCACTTGTACAATACCAAGCTATGGAGAAGGAAGAGAGAAAGAAAAACAAAGAAATAACCTTTTTCCTATCTCCATTATTGACGTCATATTCAGGCCTTTGGAAAATTAGAGCAGTACAAAACATTGAGGGACAACATCTTAGATAAAGGCCAGTACTTTATTCAAAAGAGAAAAAAAGAGGAGAAAACAAACAGTTTCAATACATGCATATTAGATATCTATTTATCTCACCCTGTTCTTCTGTTCTCTGTTTCAACTTTTAGAGAAGTTTAATCTTTATTTACCCGGACGGCAGCCATGATTTTAAAAACAACCAAAAGAATCTCTTTAAAACCCAGACTTCTGAGAAGCAAAGCAGCGTTTGTCCACTTTCGTTTGAGGAATCTAAATTTGGCAGCAGCACGGAAACCACGAGAGGCAAAGCCAAAAACTGCCGCCCATGCAGGGAGACGCAGCAGACACTGGGAGCTCCAAGCTGCGATTCCAGGCAGCACCTTCCCCTCCCGGGCCTTTCCCTCCGCTTCCCCCGAGGGCTTTGGGGAGCCTCCCCTCCGCTTCCCCCGAGGGCTTTGGGGGGCCTCCCCTCCGCTTACCCCGAGGGCTCTTCCTTGCATGGCGGGCGCTGGCGGGGAGAGGAGGCTGCCCAAGAGGGGCCGTTGGGGCGCTGCCTGCCCGGCCGGGCCGCGTCAAGGCGCCCGCTCGCTCGCACCAAGGCCTCCGTCCTCCCTCCCTTCCTTCCTTCCTGCTGGGCTCGCAGCCCGCGGGCCGGGCGCCCAGTCCTGCCCGGCGGTCCCCACGTGCCCCCGCGCCCGTCGCACATTCCTGGGCAGCTACAGGCGCTGCTATTCATAGCGCCAGCGGCACCCCGGGCGCCAGAACCAAGGGGGAAGTTTCCCTAGACCTGGGGAGTCTTTTTAAGGCTGACGTCAGTTAAATCACAATTGGGAGCAAACTGCTGGCAGAAAGTGCTGTTAAATGCCATAACAGATATTCACATCTAGAATTCAACCTTATCAGCTAACACAGTAAAAGGAGGTGAAAAGATAACCTAGGCACTTAAAAGTTACCAAAGATTTGATTTCCTCGAGAGGCATCCTCCTACAGCTCATAACACATAACTTGAATTCAAAAGAAACCCTCAGTAAGCTTAAAAATAATTATTATGCTTTCAGCTTGGGCAAATGAAATTGAGACTTTTGTATAAAAACATGTAAGCATCAGCCAAGCAATGACTTAAAAAAAAAGAAAGAAAATTTGGTGGTCATTTTAAGGAAAAGCTTGAGAATATCTGGATTTCAAAAAGTAAGAAATTATATCTGTGTGCTACTGTTCTCCCAGTGTAAAGCATCTCAGCACTTGCACAGACAGTACTAGTGTACAGATAGTGCAGATAGCCTGAAAAACAGCATCTTAAAAATTAAGGCCGTAGTTACCCTGAATGGCATTAAATAAATTACTTGGCTGTTATTATAGAAGAAAAAAAAATACTCAAAAAAAAATTTAATTTATCACAGCTAAAATTCACATTGCTCCCCCACCATGAACTTTTTCAAACACAGCTGAAGCATGGAACTGAAGGATTAGTTTAAAACCTTAAAGAAATTTACTTTACTGAAATAGTTTAAGGAAACAAATACATTGCAGTCCAAAACGAGGTAAGACAAAAGGCCATACAACTTTGAAACTTTTCTTATGAACTCAAACTTGAGGAGCTGCAGTCCAGGACATGGAAATGTTAGCCTCCTACATTTCCTTACATCATCTCTTACCGTTAGCTTAAATGCAACACATTTTTGTTGCAAAAAAGTGTGTTTGCTATTAAAGCTGAAGTCAAAATAGTGAAATTCAAAAATCTCTTAAGCCAGTTTCACAACATAGGACTGTTTGGTTGACTTACTAACCTTTGTCATGAGGCGGGTCCTCAGGTAGGTCCACATCAAGCATGAGATCATCATCATCAAGATCACATGAATCAAGATTATTTAAGATATCCTATAAGAAAAAAGAAAGAAAAGTTACTTTCACAGTAACTCTACCGCCATAAGGAAGCTTATTCCAAACCTTTGGTGCATTTCCACCGTATATATAACTGATATTGTCAGCAACCTCCCCTCTTTTAATGAGGGAACCAACCTTAAGACTACTTGCAAAAACACTAATCATCAAATCTCTCGCTACCTGATACAGGAACAATGCTGCATAAAACAAAGCTAGATCAAAATGTGCCCTTCTGTCAAAGGAGTGCTCCAAGGACTTCATTACTAAGTTCATTTATACTCTGCCTGTCCTTCAATTAGCACTTTTTGAAAACGAAGTGTTTTTGCTCAGAGTTTAACAACAACTTTAAGAACAGATGCTAAATGACCTTAATTCACCTCTCTTGCTATAGGGATCCAAACTTCTCCAGACTCAAGGAAGGGGTGAGATGGAATCTGCATCACCTAGATTTAAATGTTGATTTAAATGTCCATTTAAATTTCAAGCGTTTGAGTGCTTCAACTCTGTTAAATCCATATCAAGAGGGTCACAAAGCAATAAACTATCCAAGCATAATTAATACACCTTTCTCCATGCTGAATGACAGGCAAATTAAAATTCATCCTTTCCTAGCACTCACAATGGGTGAGGAAACTCAGGACAAAACCACAGGGTTACTTCCATTACCATTCTTCAGAATCCTTGTGCAAACCAGAGTGATGCCTCTACATTTCTTTATATGCATCACCAAAGTTATCCTCTACTTAAGTAAGAAACAGCACGTGGCCTTTTACAGGGCTGGGAAATGGCACCTGGGCACGTTTCTCGCTGCCAAGGTGGCTCTCATGTGCAACAGCAAGCGAAGACCCACGGTCCTTTCCCACGTTTTGACAGTCAGTGGAGACTGGAACTTTCCCAAGGTTTCTATGAGAATTTAAGGCTTCCAGCAGCTTTTTTTGGCCAACATAACTTAAAATCTTCAGTTATCAGCACTAAGATATGTTGTTTTTTATCTTCTAGATTGTGGTTCATACAGAGCTGTTTCTAGAACTACAACAAAAGTGTTCCATTGCTTAAGTATGCTAAGCGTACACAAAAATGCTACAAATAAAGCATTAGTAGTAGGGGAATATGTATTCCATCCAAAAATGCCATACAAAACCTCAGTGTGGCACAAAGACAAATGTAACTGCAGTGTGGGGAGGGTCAAACCAGCAGAAAGACGACGGAAAAGGGCTCCCCATCCCTTCACAACTCCCACCGCAGGAAAACTGCTCGTCCTCAGCGGCTAGAGCGGGACAACAGGGGCTAGGTGACAGAAGTAATGACCCCAGAGCCCTTTTCACTTGATCGCTCAAGGAAAGGTAAATGTATCAACACCAAAGTGATTATCATGCACAACACAAGCACTTCGCATGGTCTAAATCAGCATTCAGACCTACATTAGCAGGTCTAAAACTTGCTAATGGCTACAGCTCTGAAATTCTTCAGCTCTACTACCTGAAATAACAGATAAGAGCCAGAGCTTTCAAGACAGCTATTTGATTCAGACATCTCACATCTGAAATCTCACATCTGCCTGTTTTCTAAGAGCAGAAATGCAGATTTATTTAGGTTTACCAGTCTCATTTAAATATAACTCATGGGAGCAATCTTGAAGCATGAAGTAAAATAATGTTTTATTTATTTTGCACTGGATATTAACTTGATCTGCAAATACCTGAACACTCACAGGCAGAGGCTGTAAAAGCACGTTCATTTGCAAACTGTGGCTTTACCAGTTAAGCATTTGCTAGGTTTGCTCGGCAGAGATGTCTGCCTGGTAAGGCAGGAGCTCGACAAGCGTGACGTGAGGCCGAGCGCAGAGCTGCAGTCTGCTCCATCCTTCCCACGCTGTCCTCTGGCAGACAAAGGGCCTCTCTGTTTGACTGCACATGCAAGAAACAGCCTGGCACATTCTAAGCTTCTGCTGGTTTACATTTCTGCAGCGGAAGCTACTGTTGACTTGGGGAAAGAGTATGAGATGAAAAGAGTTAACACTTTCTTGTTTGTAAGACATTAGCAATATGTAAAGTTGGAAAACTGAGACTAAAATACAAGCAAAAGAGGACATCATTACTGCATATCATGTACAGCATGACACCTAGCTGAGGATCCTGTATTATCAGGGCATTGTGAATAAAAGCAATTATGGAAAAGCTTTCCCAAAGAAACTGAAGACATTTAAAGAAAATATGAATTTAGTATTGAGAAGAATAAACAGAATGCAGATATTTACTGGTTTTCATTTCTAGTAATTTAAGTATTTTTCCTGGAACTCCAAAGTATTTAAATAATGGCCATGCTAGACTATTTCCAGTAGATACCTTCTAAATTGTTTACTTAAAGACTGAACACAAGAACAGTTCCGGATCACCCTGCTGAATCGCACCTAGTGCAGCGGGTCCTACTCATCTAGTTACACTTTAATCTCTCTGTACAATCCAACTGCTAATAGGTTGGATTCCTATTCCCATTCCTATACCAGACCAGCCCTGTATTTAGTTGTTCTTATAGTGCCTTGAGGTACCTTTTGAAGAAAAGGTATCGTAGGAAACATCAGTAATGACCAGCATGTTATGACTTGCAGAAAGTAAAGGTGATTTAGCTGTGAGGCACTCTGTCACTCCTTACAATCAGACTAAAGTTTTCTATGTTCACCTCAAGCTGATCCCAGCCTCTCAGCAAGAGAGTAGACAAGTTTCTTGGGAACTCATGAAAAAGAGGCAACTCTATTTGCCCAAATAAACTCTTATTTTAAAAATGTGTACCCTTGCAAACAAAATATCAGGGTTTCTTTTTAAGCTCTAGCAGATCAGCAGTTTTACATGCACAGAACTCTGCTGACATGTGCACACTCGCTCTCCACACAGTTCTATACCATGACTGCAAGTGCAGTAAGATCTTTGTTCCCAGTCTGCAAGATGTTTGTCTGATGTAGCACTGCTAAATAAGTCTTATTGTTGAAGGTATTAGGAAGCATTGTATGTTCTACCTAGGTTTACTTCACGTAGAAAGGAAATAAGTACTAGTTTACAAAATTACCCACAAAACTGTAAATAGTAGGCAGAGCTTCTTCTTAGGTTTGTTGTTGTTATTAAGTCACATACCAAAATGAGACTCAATAGCACTGAGAAAAGAGAGGGAAGAGAACTCAGAAATACTAACTATCTTCCTGAGACTTCACCATTTCACATGCATCATCCCTCTCCAAGCATGGGAGGAAAGGTACCTCCTCAGCACAAAAAGCTTTCCTTTACTGCCATCTAGTCTCCAGCAGGGAATCTACAAAAATGAAAGGGGGGGGGGGGAAAGCAGCCCTCCAACCAATCAAACAAACCCTTATCTTATTTATGCTGATAAGCTAGAAAAATGACTCCATGAAGTTTAAGACTCTACTCTTTGGTTTTAAGTGCAGGGTTTTAAGTGCAATGCACCATATAATTTAGAATCAGCAATATAGAGCTATATGAAGTACATTACTAGAAAAATTGTTACAATGAAATCATGCCATTTGTTAGCATAAAGAAAAGACACGAAAGAAATAAATTCACTTTAAATATAACACTGCAGAGATACCAACTCATACCAGACATAACGCTTACAAGCTTATGAAATACAAGAAGCACTAATTGCTTCCAATACTTATTTGAGGATGTCATGGAACAACAATAAAACCTCTGTTCTCTCCCTACCTTACAAGTTTAAAGCTGTCATTAAAGGCTACTGCAGTGAAATACGCTATTTATATATGAAGTACAAGTGAAGTTGCCTTGCTTATTTTTACTGACCATAACAGCATGAGAAGACTTACAGCGTCAGTTCCAAACCAAACTGCTTGTAAAGGTGTATATGCTTTCCCATCCCAAAGGAAAAAAGGTAATTTGCCATAAAAGCCTGTTCACAAAATGTCAGCCTCTCAAAGCAGCAAGAGATTTGTGCCCAGTAACATAATCGTATAACCTCTTAACAACACTTGACAGTGGGGAGCTGTACCTCACACACGGCACACAGAAAGGCCATCTCATTAGGCACCTCCATGTCTCACTACCTGCACAGCTGTAATAATTCAGCTCCAACGGCGCCAGCTGCAGGGGTCGTGGGAGAATAGGCAGCTGCTATCGACAATACCAGCACAATACTGCCAAAATAATGACATTTCCTACAATGCCAGGAACTCCTGTGAAAGGATGATCAAGGAACACTGCTAGTTAAACCTACTGAAACTCGGACCTACTCTTAATTCAGAAGTAAAACAAGCCATTTATAGAGTCATATAGAGTCATTTTCACAAAGCAGTCAAAATCTTCACTGTGGACATACTTACCAAGGATGCTCTTATCCTAAGCAAACAGCTCTACATAACCTGTTCAGAATGTACACTAAATGCAAAGAGGTGAGACCTAACTAGCCTTTGAAACAAGAAAGCCTGACTTAAATTCTTCTCCAAACAAACAGAGAAATAATTTTCCAAAAATAAATTTTTAAGACCTAAATGAGGATGGGGGGGGGGGGAGGGGGGAAATCAATGCCAGACATTTCTCTATTGTCATGTTGGAAAAAATGCAGACAATTGTATGACTCTAACGAGAACTATGAAATTAGGTCAGTAAAACTCTTCCTCTGAATCCTCAGCTTCATCTTTTCCAGTTTCTGCAACGCAGTGTGATATGTTATGACACAAAAACACAAAATTCGGACTTGACATTAGCTTAAACAGAGGTTACCAACAACATCACCTTCAGATAAAAGGAAAAAATGTCGGTAGAAACACATCTTTCTGTGCTTACCTCCGTAATCCACTCTAATCCTCAAACCCTGTGGTTTTGAAGCAGGAAAAAAGCAGCTTGGACCACTTGACAGAGCAAGACGACTGCCACAGTCCTCTCTCAAGAGCATTCCCAGCCGAAACAACAGCTTCTCAAGCTAAAGTGTTTCCAGGAAATCCTTTTGTATCACGAATTCAGGCCTGAAGCTTGCCATTATCTCAAATGTTTTGGTAAAAGCTAAAAATCTCACCGTGAACTACCTGAGCTACTCTAGTGTCTGTTGCCAAGAAAAAGCTTGACCTAGAAACCCAGAAGTGATGCTTTCAGGTAAAGCAGCATGAAGGACCAGCACATCATCCGATCTGTCAGGACTGGAGACCTTTGGTGCCCAAGGGAATAAATGAAAATTCTCTGAAGAGAAGCAGAAAACACAAAATTCCAAGCTGTCATTCCATGTTAGTGCCATTATGTGAAATACAGTGCTGCCCATCTATCTCCAGTCTCCAGCACACAGGCCACAAAGGGAACTGTAGAAAAAGACCCAACATAAATTGCAAAGAATATGGCACCCTCTGGGATTGCTTAGTTGTTTCCCAGTACGTTCACAGCTATTTTGTTGCTTCCTACAGGAAGCTTGCATCCAATTAGATAGATGTGACTGGGAATTTCAGTCACCTCCCATGCTGATCTATGTGCCTCTCTCAGATGATTCCTGAAGTGCATTTTATCAGTGAGCTTGAGCACCTTTCCAGGTAACAGGCAGATAAAATCTCTTCCCTCTCCCCCGGCACTACATTCCCACAGTCTCATTACTCTGAAGCACTAAGTTCTAATAGATATCCACAAAACAAATCATTGCTACAGGGTGAGACTGCCCAACTTCTTCCTCTGTGGACAGGTTACGCCACAACAGCGGTCAGATAAACCTGGCAGCAACAGCAAAGTCTAAAATGCATAAGGGCTCATAGAGAGGGGCAGCATCTGTGGCTGTTGTGCAACTGCGCCAAAAATCCAAGTTAATCTAACAGAGGTAAAACCAGAGTCACTACGAGGAGAGGCATCATACTTAGCAGTTAAACACTGTCACACGGAGACAGCAATGTCTCCTCCTTTCTTTCTGCCTCCCTCCTGTACTGAAGTACAGGGCAGCAAGACTCCATAGCAGAAACTAAGTCTGCCATTAGTACTTGTGACACCAATTTATCTAAAAACAAATAAATAAAATGTAAAATTTTACATTTATTAATATCACAATGGCTGCAATTAAGAAATGGCAGTGAATGAAGTGGAAGAATTGAGACTGACAGTCAACATTTTTAGATTTCAAGCATAGAACAAAACCAGACTCTCCTTAAAGCACACAGCTGAAGTACTCAAAGCCATAGGAGGACACAAGGTAAATAGTTCTTTCTATTAATATACTGCATTTGCAATATACTGCAATATAGCAAAAACATTCTATGAAGGATATTATAATTGCGGAAAACAGTAAGAAAACTCATGTATTCTAACATATTCTAATATAACTATAATCAATTACAATGTGCAACTACAATCAGAACTGTTCATTTGAATACAGACTATCAAAAACAAAAATTTCAGTTCCAAGTAGCTCCTCCAAAGGTCATTGTGGAAATGCAACCTCCAGTTTCCAACGATGCACAATTCTGCCAAGGGATTGCTAATCCATACCAACTGTCAAATTAGTAAGTACATGCACCCTGTCTCATCCCCAAACAAAACAGAAATCAGCACTGGGAACCAAGAACCCTTAAAAATCTTAGTTTCTGTTCTATTTCTGTTAATTGTAAGGGTTTAGCGGTGCGGTGGTTCATTTTGTTTTTGCACTACAAAATATTGCATTACAGTTTTGCACACAATTCAAATCTAGAGACACAAACATATGTGAAGAACCACAACATATTTTCTTTCTTCTTGCAAACCAGCTCTCTAAAATTTTGTTTGCAAGGCTTTTTCTTCTGCTTTTAGATAACTATAATCTCAAGCTATTCATTCAGCAGCAGTGGAATGAAGAGATACTTTAATTATAATCCTTAGCTTGGTCCCTGCCCTAAAGCAAGCCAGGAATAGAAGGGATAAAAGCCCATTTAAAAAAAAAAAAAAATATATATATATATCTATATATCTATATATGTACCTTACACTGCTGAGCTGCTTTCCCCCATCAAACAGTAATACAGGTAGGTGATGGCTGAAACAGAGACATGAGCAAACAGTACAGCTGCACAAAGGTGACAATACACACAGACAAATCCTGTCTACGATACTAATTTACAGAGCCACCACAACTGATCTGCGAGGCAACAGAATTTCTCTTGCACAGAATTAAGTATTGATGACCTGATGCCAACTAGCAAAAATCAACACCTGAATAGAGTACAGGCAAAGCTATTGAACCCATCAACTAAAAAACTGAATGGGCAACCGCTTCTTCAAATGTTAACCAACTGACTTGCTGCCTTGGTAAACGCAAGTGAAACAGGGAAGTGGAGACAGAAGGGCATCATTTCCTATTACAGAATTTGAGAATAAAAACACCTTCATCCAGACAAGCTCTCAAAAGAAAGGGGTAACCCGGGGCTGCAAGCATCTCCCGGTCTTCTAAAAGTTTATTTAGGTTTGTGTATCTGTCAAGCCCGTTCCACTGCATCGCACATTTTCCTCTGTCACTGTTGATCAACTTAGTCAAGAACAGAGGGCATGTCCCAAAAGAGGACAAATTTATTTTGCTTCTGACCTTAAAACCACACTCAGTCGAGACTACCAAAAACTTCCATTTTCTCCACCCCCTCAAAGCAGCAAAAGTACTTTGCAGCCAACTCACTAGCCAACAAGCCCCTTCTATTGCCCTTCTAGTCTACTCCCCATTCCTGGGGTCACATACCAGGGGTCCAGCTTAAATACCATGAGCTAAACACGTGCCACCTCTTACCAAGGTGCCTCGACAGCAGCTGCACCGCTGTCTATCACAGCGAAGCCTTTAGCACCGAGGCTAAGGCTGACACAAACAGCCCCACTGCTGGCAGCCCCCACGTCGCCAAGGCTCTCGCTGCTCCTCACGCCAGCCTGATGCCAGGGAACCAACGTGCTTTGGAAGCATTAATTCCAAAGGCCTTTCCGAGCAACAGCAGCCCCAGCACTCAAAAACCCTGAAATCCAACTTCTTAATCAGTTGGTTCTTGACACACAGATAGGATCTCCCTTTGCCCCCACCACTCACACCAGCATAATTTGGCTACGTATCTCCCAACCACCAGAATACCCGATATGCTGATTTACCACAGTGATTCTCAATGTCTTCAATTCAACTCTTTTTCCAGTGTGCCTTTATCCTCACTTCCTCCAGAGTGGAGCAATACTAAATGAAAGGACGTTATGTTAGCCTACCCAAGAGCATAACTCTGCAGAAATAATGAAAAACTGCAGCAGTAATTCTGCTGCGTCTTCAGACTAAAAATGATTGGTGTTTAATCTTTAGACAAAATAAAATCGCAAATATATCACGCTTTATACAATAACAACAAACACAGGAAACTAAAAGGTAATTCAACAGATATTTCAGACCTACAATTTTCCTCAAATGCCAAGTTAAATGAAAACGTATTTCTTCATTGCAAAAATACAAGATGCTTTATCAATTTATCAATATTTCTGTCCTTTAAGATGAAAATCCACAAGCCCCGTGGATACACAAGGCACTGTAGTACTGCAAGCACTAACAGGATTAAAAAAAACAGTATGTGGGGAAAAAGAAAGAATAAAATTAAAAAATGAGGCTTTATAGATTCAATCTTTCTTACAACCTCCTTCTTTCTCCCCTGACTTCAAATCTAATAAACTTATTCTTCCAATTTTAAGCTCTCTCTAAATGTAATTCACTTACAATGGAGAAATACACCAGAGTGAACCAGAACATATGAAAAGCTTCTAATGTACCTTTGTTCCGTGCCATCTGCAACAGCTTCTATCAATCAAAATACCTAAGATTGCCTGATTAGTTCATAAATGTGAAAATTAATGCGTGGAGCTCACATGAATCAAAAGACTAGATAAATAGTCTAAAAGCACGAGACTTTCACTTGTTTAATAATTTGCCCTGAACATTTGAAAAATATTTCTCTTGCATATCCATGCAGGACAGTTTAAAAACCTTAATCATTTTCTGGTGCTTCTCAGTGGCAGAAGGGTGTTTGTTTCTGCAGTGCCCCACATCAACCCCTCCAGTCCCCTCATATTTAGGAAAAATCCTAAATTCTTTTCCAAGCTGGCCACAACCACCATGAGAAGACAAATCGCAGAACCACAGAATACAGAATCACAGAATATTCAAAGTTGGAAGGGACCTCTAGAGATCATCCAGTCCAACCTTCCTGCTCAAGCAGGCACACCTAGAGCATGTGGCACAGGGTGGCATCCAGGCAGGTTTTGAAGACCTCCAGAGAAGGAGCCTCCACAGCCTCCCTGGGCAGCCTGTTCCACTGCTCTGTCACCCTCACAGTAAAGATGTTCCTCCTCACCTGGAGATGGAACTTCCTGTGCTCCAACTTACGGCCGTTACCCCTCGTCCTATCGCTGGCCACCAGTGAAAACAGCCTGTCCCCTTCCTCCCTGCGTTCTCCCTTCCTGAGCTTATACATGCTAATCATATACCCTCTCAGTCTTCTCTTCTCCAGAGAAAACAGGCCCAGCTCACTCAGCCTCTCCTCGTACGAGAGATGTTCCATTCCCTTAATCATCTTAGTTGCTCTTCTCTGGACCCTCTCGAGAAGCTCCACGTCCCTCTTGTCCTGGGGAGCCCAGAACTGCACACAGTACTCCAGGTGCGGCCTCACCAGAGCTGAGGAGAGGGGCAGAATCACCTGCCTTGACCTGCTGGCAACACTCCTCCTGATGCAGTATGAAATAAGTTGACTACGAAATAAGTTGATTCAAGTATGAAATAAGTTAACTATGTTTTTAAAATATACTTGAGCCATAAACTCAAATAACTAGAAGAACACAGGTTATGTATATAAATACATACAATGCTGTTCATTTCTGAAGACTCATAGCTTCCACACGGATGGACACTTCCAATAGGTTCGAGCCCTTCTTCATCCCACATGTAGGTGCCATCAGAACTATCAGAAGGAGAAAGCTCAAAAGAGGAGCCAGCTCTATAATTCATGTCTGGAGAAATCATGTTCTCAGTAGTATGCTTTGTGCTTTCACTGTTGTCATCCGCTGTTGAAAGAAAACAATAGTCAAGATTACAGAAAGGACCCTATATTCCCAAGTAAAAATTAACAGGTATATTCTTGCCAAGTCAGAGGACTGTAATGCAGTCTATTATAGTGTTAATGTTCATCCTTCAGGAAAAAAACTCAAGCTAGATCGGTTGCACCAATTAAGTATTCCTTCAAGTTTCCGCTAGTCTTTAATACTGCATTCATCCGTCATGAGAGGTAGTTTCTATAAGTCAATATCCTTTTAAATACATTAGAAGGTGTGTCTAAAAGTGAATATTCTGGATCCAATCTTTCAACTGTATGAACAGATTTCCCATTTGGGGAAAAAGTGTGGACCATGGAAAACTAAGACACTAAAGTGTTAAAAATCCTCCATTTCTTCCTCCATTGTTTTTTTAAAAGCATGCTCCTAGAAAATACCAGTAACATGGTAATTTATAACTTAACTAGGCACCCTACTTTTATTCTCACTGCTTAGGCATTCTTGCAGGTGCTCTCTGCCTACAGAGAAAACAACACATACAAATTTTAGGAGACTAACACTGCAAAGAAATGAACAATAAAGCAAAGATAAGAGAAATTCCACAAGTTAATCCCAAGTGTGGTCAAAGGACGTATCATTCACTCTTAATCCTAAGCAAAACACGTCTGAACTATAATACTTAGGATAACTACAATACCAAAAAAAAAAAAAAAAAAAAAAAAAAAAAAAACCACACTGTAGGAAATCAAATGAACCAGCCTCGAACCACATTCTGTTCTGAAACAATCCACAAACAATAGATCACATAAATAATAACATCTTGATTTAGTATCTAAGACTGCAAGCAGAATGTAACAAAATATTTACCAGACACGTGTATATCAAGCCAGTCATCAGGGTTACAGTGAGATCCTCCACTTTCCTTGAGAGATGTGAACGGCTCTACCGGCGCTATGTTTCCATGGTCCAAGTCTTGAACGCTGCCCTCCTGCTGTTGTATTTGTATTGTTCTATTTGGGTCTTCTAAATCTATAAAGTCATCACTGAAATCCTCACTCAAGTCATTTTTTTCAGAGGATGACAAGGAAGATATAGATATTTCATCTCCATCATCACTCATACACATGACTTTTGACCCATGTTTTCCTATGCTCTCATGGAGACCCTCACCAGCTTCTATTCTTTGAGTATCACTCTCCATAATGCTGTTTTTCTCATTTGCTCTATTGATATTTGTTGAAATTTCAGAGTTGATCACGCGTGTGTCACGAGTTGTACTTCTGTTGTCTTCCACAACAATACTGCCAGGAAATCGCTGTCTGGTGGGCTTCAGCAAAGAAGGTCGACTTAATCTGTATCCAAAAGAAGTTGCAGACCCAGATCCATTTGAGAGCGAGGGCTTCTTTGAACAAGGAGCTGATATACTAGCATAGGATCTGGTAAACCCATACTTTGTGGGCTCATTTCCATTGGGTACATCCAACTGCCGCGTGCTTCTTGACAAGAGAGTTGACCTCTGAGATGTCCTAACAGCTAGATTTTGACTTTGATAAGGCTTTGTAAGATCCACAGCTTTATTAAAGGAATGTGACCTGGTTAGAGATGCAGTGGGAAGAAAAGAGTTTGGAATGGAATGTGAGAAACTTTGTGATCTTACCATTTTTTCACAGGAAAAAGTCTTATTATTGTCTGTAGTTTGTGCCAAGCTTTCTCCTGAACTGGTCCTTGTGGCACTGGAATTAGCTCTAGGTCTCTGCAAACCTACCATTGGCCTGTTTCCATAAAATCCATTTAAATGCGATTTTGGAGCACTGAGTCCAGAATATGAGGTCCTGCCCGACAGAGTACCTTTGGCAAATTTTGCTGAACTAGAGAGTCCAGGCAAAGACTTTGGGTTAAATTCCTCAGTAGAAGAGACGAACATACTGGTTTGCTTCGCTGTTTTTGAGGCAACTGAAGCAGTGCTGTTCAAACCCACCCCGAGCACATCCTTACCCAACGCTCCCTGTGACTGGGGATACTTCTCAGAATTGATTAGTTTTTCATTATAGTTATGGTTAGAGTTGGACTCTCGTCCATTTTGATCACAAAGCTGATATTTATTTGATTTTCTCCAGTTGAAAGAAAAGGAAGACATGCGCACAGTGCCATTGTGCTTGCTGAGATTTTTGTCACCATTATTTCCTGATAAATTAACAACTGTCCCATTTGGCATAGGTTGCAAGACACTTCCTAAATTTTTTGTTCCATATTTTGGTAGCCTGGAAACCAAGGATGTCCTGATTTGATTTTTTTCTTCCATGAGCTATTGGGTTCATTGGTCCTTACAGGGTGCTTGAATCTGAAAGGAAGAAAAAGATTATTAGACCAGAATCAACTACATATATTACAGACTAGATGCAAATATGTATAAAGCTATATTCCCACCATACCCATGTGTCTAGCCATATTGCAAATGCAGATATAACTCACATTCTTTTTCTAAAATTAACAAATCAACAATAACAAAAAAGAAAAATCACAAAAACACACAAAAATCCTATGCTAGTCACCAGAAGTCATCTGGCAGCAAAACGTTCTTCAAGTGGCAGACATATGCACACATGAACATTCTCAAGATTTTAGTTCTCCAGTTAAACTGCACTTTTAAATTTGTCCTCTCATTTTCATGTCTTTAAAACAAGCTTGAAAAGGAAAACCATTATTTTCTTGACCTATTTTGAGCAGCAAACTAAATATTTCAACTCCACTGCAACTACTTTAAATTACACATTTAAATCTTAAATTTAAAGAGTTGTGCCACAATTGAATATACTCAGCAATCCAAATCTGCAAGAACTACAGTGTTATGTTCGGCCAAAAATATTTTAAAATCAAATTGTTTTTGTTCCTCTGCAAGACTATTTCCCACTATACTAGTCCTAGCACCTACAGTAATAGAGATTCTGAAGGTATCCGCAAGCACAAAATTAAAAAGGCAAAATAAAATTATTGGAAAATATCTTTAAAACTCATTCAAAGATATTCAGTTGCTATCTTGGGAACTTCTCAGCTCTTGAAGTTTGAGGAAACAGAAGTTTCCTCAGAACTTTGGGAACAGTGACGTGAAGCAGATTTCCATTAGCAGAACCATTATGGTTTATAGAAAGTCTATTACTTATAAAATCATCAAATATACAGACTACATAAATATGGCTCTAAAGAAGAGCTTGTGAGAAAAGCCTCACTACTGAGAAAGACTACTCATGTATCACGAGCTATTCATCATTAAATACCAAAAAACCACCATTTTTGTCAGAAGGTCATGCTATGAAGACAAATGGCAGAAATGTTAACAATATCCTCATGCAAGATGGATCTGAGCAGATTTGTCTCTTCACATGAAAGCTGCAGTCTATTTTGGCCATTGTCATACTCATCTACAAGCGCTGAGGTAAAGAGCCACAGATGCATATGCTTTTCAAGACACCAATTCTTAGCCAAGGGCAGTGTTCACAAGCAAATTTAAAAGTTTTATTTCTGTGCAGTAATACATGAACATGCAAACGTAGCCCCAAAAGCCTGAGACAGAAACATAAGGACAGCATTTGCTTCCATACATTCAAGAACTTCTACTGCCTTTGTTAGAAATACAGAGATTCCACAGCAGTCTTCCTTGAAGATTTATCGTATATGAACTTGTTATGTCTTGTTATTCTGGTATATTACCTTAATATATTTTATATTTACATTTACGGCTTTATAAAGGCGTATCTGCTTTACAGGGATATCTTCCCCTCTACATTTCTTGCTTTGAGGGTTTGCATCTGCATACTTTGATATGTTGCTTGCAGTTTTTCCACACACAAAACACCTCTCTACAACTGTAATTTTTACAACTGCATCTCTGTCATACTTCACATATACTCTGTTTCTTTTCCTGGAATACCACATGAAGAGCTTCTCTAAACATCATTTATTAAAGGTTTTAAATTCTGATAAGGTCTTGAGAAGGCTTGAAGTTCCAGCGTCCTATCTTAAGACAAGCTTAACCTTGTGTTAAATTCTCTATTTGCAAGGTAGGGTTTACTTTTATTTATGTGTAAAACAACATCTTGCTTTGGCTAATATGGATTTTATACATTAGCCTGTTCTATCTGCTGCTCTTACTGTGGTGTCAAGCTAAGTAATTTCAGTAGGTTATTTTTTCAAACTAATATTGGTGTTTCTCTCACAGATCTACACAAGGCTAGAGAGACTAAAAAAAAAAAAAAAAGAAAAAAAAATAGAAAAAAAGAAAAAAACCAGCACAAAATAACGAAACCACGGCAATCATGATGAGTATCAGCATATAGCAAGTAACATTATACCTGTCTGAGATGCAGGAAAGCCACAGCAAACATTACCTTAAAGGGAATTACTCCTTAAGCAGCAAGATGTAACTAAGCAGCTCAAGTTAAAACTGAAGTAGCATTAAATCCACACAAACTGAAGTGCCCTTAAGGTTTTATACCTGAATACAACACCCCGGAGCTATCCTTCTAGAAGTAGATCAACATGAAAAAGTACAAAGAGATATGCACTCTCGGAGATAAAGATAAGGTTGGGCTAAGGGTTTCTCACGTAAGAGAATCCATATCCTGCAACCAGTGCAGTGCTTTTCCATTTAGAAATCACTGTCTGGAAAGTCTAAGGCAAAGTGAAGTCTTGCGCACTGGAGACATAATCCTAACTGAGTCTTATGTAGAAAACTCAGAAATAAACAAAAGCTTAGAAGGAAACAAAATAAAGGTATCTTTCCTTTATCCCATTCAATTCCTCCTTATATCTTACTGTATATTAGCCTTTCAACTTACTGTTCCAGAGGTGCCACCACACGTGCAGTGACAGAGGCACCTTTGCCACCCACGCTCCACACTTCCCAGTTCTCACAGCATTCAACCCCACACTCCCTCCTCTCCATTATGCAGCTTAATTGCCTGCCTCCCACCACAACCCTTTTGGTGACGCACTCCAGAAGCAGCGACGCGCAGCGGGTGCGCTGCGCTATTCCTGCACACCCATGGCATTTGTTTCATCCTTAAGCAAATATCCTCGAGAGCTACATTTCAGGTCCAGTGACACCTCATGCTTTTCATGCTGACAATTCCTTAAGCCAAGAACAACCATCATTAGGCCCATCCCTTCTTTCAGTTTTTCTAGGCAGTTTACATGAACGTCATATAGTACCACAAAATTTTAAGCTAAACACTGAGCTACACATATGAGGAAATACATGCTGAAGAACTGGTCTTACTAAACAGGAGATACTTAAATACCTCTTTTGTTGGCTTTGCCACAATTACTAGCATTAAGAACATACTGAAACTTGAAGTCACATATCAACATTTTGCTTAAATGATTCTTTAAACAGTCCATAGAAATTAACTAGTTGATCTGTAATTCGGATCGTAACATTCTAGCCTGATTCAAGCAGTATCCGAGTCGAGAGTAGAAGCATCCTGTCACAAAGAAGCAACATTCAGACTTAATTACAAGTTTTCAAGTACTTGTTCAAAGGGCAACCAGAGAATCATCTTTTCCTACATAGTAACTCACTCAGGACAGAATACCCAGTCCACCAACTGTAGCACCTACTGTACTAACACTGCTCCATCCCTGTATAACCACCTCAGGAAGACTCTATTATGTGATATAGACACAGTTTAAAATCAATCGTAACACAGTAACTCTTCAATTTATGCACAACAGCAGCACTCATACTATTGGAAAGGAAGCTTAAATAAATGAACTAAGTAATAATGGAGGATGTGGCTAGAATAAGAATGCTTCAAGTTAGAAACATAACAAGCATAAAGATAAAATACTAGAAGCTTGTAGGAAAATGGACCTATATTTCAGACTGAAGGCTCAAGTTAAACTCTTAAATACACATCTAAGACACCTACACACCAGCTTTGCAGAAGTGCTGAGAAGTCCTCACCTTCCACTGACCTCGCTTACCAAGTGACTCTGCATGGATTCAGGTGTCTAACGCCCTACTTGTGTCAAGAACGCTGACCAACATTTTCTAAGAAATAAAAAGCCCACATAGTATTTCATTCGTATGTTGCTACCCATAAAAGTAGCATTCCTGTATACCTTACAAATGAAAAAGCTTTAATACACTAAAAAAAAAAATTCTTGGAAATAAAAAAAGTAAGATTTCTAAATTTAATCAGAAAAGTGTTAAACTACAAGCTTTACGGATAAATCCCTTCTTGCATCTGTCTACAATCTCTTAGGTGACTGCAAAATTCAAATGAAGCCCTTAAAAGAGATTACTTTAATCCTCCAGCAAGTGCTGCAAATTAAACTTGAAAAGATGACCATTCAATTCTCTAGGAAATGTGCTTACTCATCTACCCTTAATTAGGAAAAGGCAAAATATTATCTCAAGAAAACTATCCTGACAGCTTAAAATATTTCAGATAATTAAATCAGTTCCCTTAGAAGTCCTTGCCTTTATTAACTCCATAACTGTAATTGTTTTACCAGATTTTCAATGCTAGGTTGCATTTCCTTGGCTCTATTTCACTATCAGCTGAAAATTTCACCTGCTTAATGTACTTGTATTATCAAAAATATTTACTCACACTAAATGAAGTACAATGATATCAAAAATTTAACAGTACCATGTTTGACAGAATTTACTTTTCCTGAAAACGAGGAGAAAATTCTATCAACTTGGGGCTTTGTTCGATTCCTGCCACAGAAGTAATGCTTTACAACATACCTGCAGTTAATTCTGTTTCTCTGAAACACAACTTCTGTTCAAAGCTGTGAGGCTGCTTTTCCTGGAGAGTCTTTTCCCAGACTTCAGAGAGCTCGAGTTTAAGTCCTTTTCTCCTCCCTCAACCTTGGCTATACTGATGTTCTACCTGGCTTCCTAAGTTCCTCTCTCAAACACAGAGAAAAGACACTTTTGCAGAATGCTGCTCTATTATATTTACTGTTGGTCAGAAAGCACAAGGCCAAGGAATATTAGGAGAGACACAATGATAATGAATGCATGTGAAAGCAGGAGAGTACAAGAGAAACAAGATTGGGGCTTCTGAATATCTAACACTGAACAGTATCTCCAGTCAATACAGGGGGGAAAAAAAAGTATATAGCATTCCTTGCAGTCTTTACAAACTCTATTGTTGTAATTCATCAGAACGCTGTTTCATGATGTTTTGAATGGCTAGAGGTCATAAGTACTCACTGGAGGAAAAGAAAATAGGACAGTGCAGCTCAGTTTGCCATAGAAGAAAGCTGCTTGCAGAATCAAAACTCCATTTTATATCCCTTATGGGCACATTCACAATTCACTTGGCCATT